TCTAGAGGCATGGAAGCATAGAACAGACTGACAAATTTAAGTGCAGGTGGGTGGGTGGGAAAAGATTAACCAAAGAACTTCTATGCATATATGTATAAACCATGGACACAGACAATAATGTGGTGAAGGCCAGGATAGTTGGGGATGTGGGGTGAAGGAGGTCAATGGGTAAAAAAGGAGACATCTGTAATATTTTCAACAATAAAGATATATTTTTACAAATAAAATAGTTATTCATGCCAAGGGAAGCTTTATGTGAACCTTAGAATGAGAATCTTCAAAATGATGAGAAGTCATCTCAGGTGAATGTAGTTGACTTGCTCCAACATTACATATGTGTCAGAAAAGGATTTAGGGTTGTTAATCACAAAATGTTTCTAATTTTCATTTTCAGGCAGTTGTGGCTTAGCAGTCTCAAACTTATACATGGCTTAATGGTTTCATCCTCTAACTTTCTGACAAAATATTTACAGTCAGCTCTATTTCTGCAGAAGACTAAGACTTCAAAAATAGAAATCAAGACAGCCAAGTATACTTAAAGATAATAGGCAATAGACAGTGCTAAAAATGATTATAATACACTTTAGAAATTAACCTTGGGCCAAATTCCACCAGAAGACCTATGGATAGGATCTCAAAAAAGCTAGCTAAGTAATAAGTATCATGGAAGTGATAACCAGACAAAAAGTTCCAAGGGTCTGAGCCCTAAATCTCTCCTTGAGAAACTGTAAGGCATTTCTACAGCTACTACATCTGTTGCAATCTACAGACTGCAATTTCACTTAAGGTTGGTGGTGTAATTGTGAGGTGTTACTGCATTATTGATAAACCCAGTAAAAGAAATGTCAAGCCCTTTTAAAGTCACTGTACACTGAGCACAGCACTTCCACCCGAGAGTTAAGGCTAAGCGGTAACATGATGAGAAGGATTTTCTTATTCTCACAGCTAATTCCATACCCATATGAAAATGAGAACGAAACCCATTATATTTGATAAGCACCCACCACACTTACACATTTTTTAAATATATTTTTATTTATTTCAGAAAGAAAGGATAAGGGAGAGAGAGAGAGAAACATCAGTGATGAGAGAGAATCATTGATCTGCTGCCTCCTGCATGCCCCCTACCTAGGAATGTGCCCTGATTGAGAATCAAACCCTGACCATCTGGTTCATAGTTCCATATCCAATCACTGTACCACACCGGCCAGGCATGTGTAAGCCTTTAAAAGAACTGAAAAGGAATATAAGGGGAAAGAAAAACTAATTAATAAAAGGTGATTGGAGAAGATAACTGGATAATGGAAGAAAAAAAATCATCCATTAGCAACAAAATAGAAGAGATTATTTATGTAGATTTACAAGTAGATGAGTTCCAGATGTATTTTTTTAATCTACTTCTCCCAGGTGTTTTTCTGCTTAATAAATAGAACACCCAAGTTGGAATATTGCTGAAGCATTGAATCACCTAAATGCTGGCTATGGTCTTCTTCTGCTGTTAACTATTTTAAGCCATTTCTCCGCAGGGCAGCGCTACTGAAATCATCAGCACACAGGCTTGGCAGAGACAGAGAGAAAAAGTACAGTCCACAAATTTGTTTCTTCTGTTTTTCCCAAAACAGAATCTCATAAAAAACATGCCCTCAAATTCTGTCACGATGCAGCTGACAGAATGAGAAATTCGGCTGCTGTTCGTAACTCTGAACATTAAACCCATTTTTTTGTGCTACTGAGAAGTTGCATAGCTCCAGGAAGTCGGGAGGCACCATCGCAACTGTTCAAATGGTATCCAGGCAGAACAATCAGTCAATCAGAAACGTTAGTTCCAGTGGGATGAAAGTTTTTGGGGCCAACTTGGAAAAGCCTAAAGAACAAGTCTGACTTTACTGCCAAGATCATTTCCAGGACACTGGCTAATTAATTATAAAAGCTTTTTCAAAACAAATTTGAGCCTGGCAACCTTTTTTCCTACTCAGAGAGAGAAAAAAGCAGGTTCAATATAATAAAAGCCCAGGCTTGTTGTGCTTTTGTTTTTTTGTTTTTGTTTTTGTTTTTGTTTTCAATAACTCTATCTTCTTTGCAAGCCCATTTTCTTCTTAGCACCCTTTATAGTTGAAGTTACTAAAATAGTGGTAATAGAAACAGAAACTATTAGTTTGAATTCCTATTCTACCTTGGGTCATAGACAGACCATGGGTCAGTCACAAAACCTCTCTTCAAATTCTTTCGTGGGAAGCAAAGAACAGGTATTCTTCCTCTTTAGAGGCAGGATAAAAGGCTTGTTGCATTAACTATGGCTGTTATATTAGATAAATGGAGACAGACAGTTGCTCTTATAATGATATCCTCGTCAACTTCATTTTCAGGCTTTGAAAACAAAAAGAACTAAACTCCTGAATTAAATCTTCCTTGTTTTATCTTCCTCTGAATCTTCATAAATATGAAATGCTAGTGATAGCAAAGATTCTGTTTTCAAGGACAATATCACACAGGTTTTATAGTAAAATCAACAACCCAGAAACATAATGTCCAGCCTATTTCTTCTAATACAGAATCTTGTGCAAGACACCTCTTAAGCCACTGAATTTCTTCTGCACATGCCCAGATATGAAGAGACCCAAGAAAGTAAGAAATTTCTCTCAGCACTTATCAGCTGCTTATTGACAAATTTCCAGAGAAGAACTGTCCTTAATTAAAGAAGTCTTTCTCAAAGAGTATATCAACCAGATATACCTAACTTTGCCTCATCTAGAATCAAGACCCCTGGCAAACCTCATAATTAGTGTTGCTTCATACCTTACATAGAGGTTGGCATAGCATAACTGTTTAATCAAATATTAGTTAAAGGAATGAATGAATGAAGGTATCACAATTCTTATCAATCACCATCTCATACCTGGATCACAATCACATAGCTAATCTGCTACTGTTCCTCTCAGTTTCCCCACAGAATCAGAAATATATTTAGGGCTTCTCTACTTCTATTGCCATACAGTATGAACAACAACCAAAATCAAGAGACAGAACCAGTTTATGCTATTGAATTCATATCTGATAAACTTGTAAAAAAAAAAAAATCACATATGACATATAAGAACTGTGGATCTATGTTAGTTCCCCATATTTTTATTTATTATTTTCTTTTCAGTGTAATGGCCCTTGAAAGTCTACAATGTAAACCATGGCTATTGAGCCCTTGACGCCCATATTTTATTTAGCCAAGTACTTTTCTAGTGGTATTTTTTTAGACTTCCTGTTGCTTCTTTAGTGAAAAATCACAATTTAGAACAATGTATTTCATCTTTCTAAGTCTAAATCTCCACATTTGTACCAACCTTATGAAATGGGCATGCATAAATTCTTAGTTAGGGCCATACCAATAATAAATGCTCAATAAATATTAACTATTGTTTCAAAAACTAGAGGCCTGGTGCAGGAAATAGTGCACATTGAAAGGAAATTAATTGGAAAAAATATTTTAGAGACTAGGGAGGGACAGCTGGAGGTTAGCTCCAAGGTGTGTCTGGCCCATCTCGCCCAGTCCCAATTGGCCGGACTCCAGAAGAAAGCTAACCTACCAGTTAGAGTATCTGCCCCCTGATGGTCAGTGCACATCACAGCCACTGGTAGAGTGGTTGACCAATGGTCACACATGTAGCATGTTAGGCTTTTATATATATAGATGTTGTTTGATAAATACTGAGTGGAATCAAGATGTGCGAAATAGTGTTGAGGGAAATCCTCAATAAGTCCTAGTGGACTGAGTTTTCCCTCTTCTGTTTCTGTTTTCCATATTTAATGATCTTCTCCCCATCATTTTAAGAGGCAGGAAAGAGAGGTGAGGAGAGTGATCCACATTAGCATTTGAAGGAGGAGTAGCACTAGGAGTCAAGAATGAATCTCAGTGTAAAAAGGGAGGACATTAGGCCTGGCCAAAGCAAAACATCCCTCTTCTAGGGAACAAAAATAAATTAAGATAAGAAGGATAATATGGGATTTCAGAGCATCTTAAAAGAAATACAGGCAATACTGAATTCAACTTTATAGGAAGCCATTACAAGCTTTTAATCCAAGGGAGAAATGGAAGTGCAATATTTTACGAAGTGTGTTAAATTGTGAGAAAATGGAGACAAGGAATTAGCTCCAAAGGCTTTTCTAGCAACACAGTCTGAGGTGATAAGGGCCCTGTTAGGGTGCTGCTGGTTGGAAGGAGAAGGAAGAATCCAAAAGCTATTTTGGATATGTTCATGTACAAGAAAAAACATGAATTCCATCTTTCCTATACTTTTAACAAATGTTGCTAGTTAAAGAGATGCATCCTCATAAAGAATAAATGTACAACTCAGATTTATTTATCTAGGTAAAAATTTCACCCACTTAGGCCACACAGCTAGTTTTGGTTTTTATTGCACAATGCAAAATTACATCTGCTCTCCATTCTCTATTATCCACTGGGATATTCTCCCAACTGGAAAATGGCCCAGTTTCCACCATATTTTTTAAAGAAAAAAAATTGAGATTCAAACCCTAATTGCTCTACATTTTAAATAGTCTACCTACTATGTATTTTAATACACAAATCTTTAGCTAACAAAACTACATTACCTTTGCCAAAAATATACTCAAGAGTGAACAATCACCAGAATGTTAGTTCTTTTTTTTTAATCCACGCACTTTTTCATTAAGTGTTTCATTTGATCCTCACAATAACCTTGAGGTAGGGATTATTATACTATTTTAAAGCTAATGTAATTATAGTTACAATAAAGTGCCCAAGAGACTACATCTACAAAGGCTGAAAACATGACTTTCATTCTTGGGTTCTGAACTCCAAATCCCTTTCACAGAAAGCCTCCTCTCCCCACAGAAAAATTACAAAAACCCCATCTACATATATTGGTTCTTTTCAGTCAGGGAACTATCATTTCTCATCTTTTCCCAGTGTCTTCTAGATAGGCACTCAGTCTTACATTTCAAAGGAGCAAGAATTCTTTGCTTACCTGGTCCTTCTCAGGTTTATCGGAAATGTCATTCAGACTGGCAGAAGTCAGATTCCTATGGGTCAGGGCTGGGCTACCTGGAAAAACAAAAGCAAATCCTAATTAAAGACTTCTTCTCAAAAGCACAGAGTCTCTGGTTGTATGTTTCATCAACACTGGTAGATGACGATGGGCATGGTGATGATGCTTTAGCTACAATAAACGCTGGAGCGCAGACACGGTTAAAGGGAAAGTGTGAAAAATCTCCCATAGCTTGTTGAAGTCTGACTGCCAGTCTCTATTCTAAGATAAGTTACACTTCGAAAGAAACATCAAAAACAAAAGGCATAAAAAGAAATGTACTCCTGGTTTGGTTTGGTTTTTGTCCCAGCCCTTTCACACACATCCTAACCTATCAGGTGCCTTTCCTTTTCCTCTCCCCCACAGAGCCAGGCTCTTTCTCCTGTCAGCAGAACTGGCCCCAGGTTCAGGCCTACTGTCTTCTCTCCCAGGCCTCTGCAGTCCTTCCTAGAACACCCCTCATTCCAATCAACACCAAAAGCTATCTGTGTTCCTTTCTCTAGCTAACATTTTAATCAAAATATTTATCCTGCCCTAGATGGTTTGGCTCAGTGAACAGAGTGTCAGTCTGCAGATTGAAGGGTCCCGGGTTCGATTCCAGACAAGGGCACATGCCTGGATTGCAGGCTCAATCCCTAGTAGGGGGCGTGCAGGAGGCAGCCAATCAATGATTCTCTCTCATCACTGATGTTTCTATTTCTCTCTCCCTCTCTCTTCCTCTCTGAAATCAATAAAAATATATATATTTTTAAAAGAATGCTTCTCCTTAGTAGGCATCTGATCCAGAATCCCCATTCTTTGCCTCAAAATAGTGTTATCACAGGCTCCCCTTAGTTCCTGCATTCCCATTTTGCCAGACTAAAATAACTGTGTCCCTTCTTCCCCCTTAACATGCCAAGGTCCTTATTCAAGTCAAAGGATGGTTCCACCAGGAATGCTTCAGGGGAACCAAGCTCTGCTGTAGGTAACATCCACTGGCAATCCAGTCAGTGATTTTGGAGACTGTTACAGAAGCACACAGAGGAAGGACGTCTGGAAGAGTGAGAGACCATTTTCAAGTAAACTGTGTTAATCAACACAGTACTGAGCTTCCATTCTGCAGTTGACCTGAAATCTCTAGGCTTACTAAGCAAAACACTAACTTTTCAAAGCCAGGGTGCTTGACCCACCCCTGCAGGGTGCTGAGTAATGTATTCATCCTTAATCCTCAATGGTCTGACTCAGGCCAATCTTCACACCAAAGGGACAAGGGTTGGGCGAAAAAGCACAGAAGTTCCAACACAGCTTCACATTTGCTTTCAAAAAAATTATTTATTACAGACTTTCATTCCTTCTGATCAAAACTTCAACAAAGAATTTTACAAAAGATTGCAATTTACTCCTAATAATTTGATGTGTATATACCAGCAGCTCTTTAAATTATATAACTGTCTTTAACTACTAGATCAGGGAAATTATAATTTTCTGGGGCTGACAGATAGGATGCTTTCTGCTCCATTGCATTTCATTGAGTAAGCATGTCCTAGGTCTCTGAAGGCCTTTACCTGGTGGGTTATTTTATTCTAGGAAAATCTGAGCACAAAGCATTTTTCAAAGGAAAGTAAAAGCTGGAAAAATGTTTATGGGTAATATGAAAAGAACTTCGAAGGCCACATTTTCTTCTTTGAACTGCACGCGCACCACTGGATACAAGCAATACCAGGTACCAACATGAATGCCCCAAGGTAATGTTGGGTTTGAAACGCACAGGTTAATAATTTTGCACTTTATACTTAAAAAATAAAACCAATTATTTGAAGTAAATGGATGAAAAGTCTACCTAAGTAAAGAAATCTAAATTCTATACTCCTATGTCAAGGAAGCCTTAGAAATACTAATTATAAGTTAAAAGTAGCTTAGGTAAGTGATTAGATAAGACTAATTTCTAATTATAAAGCAATCGTATTAAGTGGAAGTGCTGAAATAAATTGAAAGCAGCCTTTCATTAAGTTATTTAAATTTCCTGGGCAATATCCTAAACTCACTCACTGATTTGCTTTGGAAATACTGCAAAGGTACAATTCAACCCAAGAACTGCCCTCACTGCTGTAAAATCTGAATATGTAGAAGCCAAATGAATTAGGTCTTTATTATGATGGTAATCTTAATTGATGTCACCACTTTTCCAAGAAACCTCATCTACTGTCTCATCATTTCTCGTTTCTGAAAGACAGCTATCTACATTTGTATTTTATATGGAGAAAGAAGAAGCACAGGTCCAAGGAAGAAGAAGGAACCAGATGGGGAAAAGGAGGCCAGTGTTAAGAAATAATCAACTCTATTGTCCCTCCTAATCTTAACTTTACTTATTAATAAAAGTACTATTTAAAAGTAAAATTAAGGAATGTTCCCTAATGATTAACTTTGTAATATACTAGAAGAATTCAAAGTCAACACTTTTAGGTAAGCCCTAAGCGAGATGATCAGCATTCTTTTCCCTCCTCCCTCCTTAACAAATTTCTCACCCTTACACCCTAACACCTTGAACCAAAGACAAATGCTTCCCAATGCCCAACCTGTGGCCCCAGATCAACAGCATTCAGCTCTACATGAGAACTTGTTAGAAACGCAAACTCCTGGGACTCACCCCAAATCAACCAAATCAAAACTCTGGGTATGGGGCTTAGCAACGAGGGCACCAACAAACCTTGGAAGTGATTCTGAAACATGCTAAAATTTGAGAATCACTGCTCTAAGTAAACCAGTTAGTTATCTTAATCAAATGGTGTCCCTGTCAGAATTAGAGTTGAGAGGGGATTAAATAAGGTGAAATAGCCAGAGTGGCAGTTCTGATAACCTTGCTCTCCCCCAAGCTACTGCTTCCAACTGTCCTATCTCAGGCAAATCTGTAAATTAGGCATCCTTGCCACATAAACAGACAAAAATGATCAGACCTGGCTTTTCCTCTAAATCATCACCTACACTATTAAGTAAATAACTAACTTTGTTTTGGAAGCTCACTGTTTTAATTAGCCTTTTCCAAAAACATGCCACCCAATTCAAAAAAAAACAAGGACAAGAGCCAAAAGAGATGACAAACCAAATTATATCTGGGAATCAGAAATCTGAGTGCAGCATTTTAGCAAACCCAAAAGCTGTTATACAACAGGTCCCTAACAACATTCTTTGTGGATATTTTGCACCTGACATTCAATAAGACGCATTGTCAGAACAAACCAGTGCTTTCTGTTTAGAGTTTCTTCCTATAATGTGAACTCATTATACTGCAGTCCTGAGTGAGTTGGGGTAGCAGAGGAAAATTTCCCCTTGTCCCAAAAAGGTGTGTCACAAGGATACCTTACAGCATGCTACCACTTGTGCAGGTGGTGATTCTTTTACTCGGAGATACCACGAGCGGGCACTTCCAATCTGAAATCCAGGGCATACAGAGGTCTTAAAACTGTTCTTGGTCCAAAGAAATTTGGGGCTTTTAACTGTTGGTTTTTTGGTGTGTTTTGTTGTTGTTGTTGTTGTTGTTTTTAAAGGACCAGCCTCATGTGCATTAATTATAATGAATTCGCATATCCCTGATTTCTTGCCACGAGAAAAAGAAAGCTTTGGAGAATCACATTTTCAAGCAGTTTCACACAATCAAAAACAATTTCATTTTCTAAGTACCCACTTGGCAGGTACATACTGTCTTCTATAAAAACTAATTGCATTCTGTACTAAGTTTGAAAATCATTCTTATCCTTTAGCACACGTGTAGCAATTTATAACATCTTCTGCAAGTATATCTCTTTGTTAAAATAAAAAGGGGTGAGGAGAGTGCATAGCATAGGAAGAGGTTAATATGTAAGAGAGTACATGTTAGCTTGGTAGGTGTGACTCAGTGGTTGAGCGTCAACCCATGAACCAGAAGGTCATGGTTCAATTCCCAGTCAGGACGTATGCCTGGGTTGGGGGCTTGATCCCCACTGTGGGGTGTGCAGGAGGCAGCCAATCAATGATTCTCTCTCATCAGTGATATTTTTATCTCTCTGTTTCTCTCCCTTTCTCACCCTGAAATCAATAAAAACATACTTTAAGATTTTTTAATAAAATAGTGTATATATTAGATAAAATTGCAAATATGTGTGTAATGACACATATATTGCCACATGCACACCTCATACAAAGAACCTAGGAACAAGGCAAAACAAAGATCACATGGGTTATGAGGTACACTGGGTTTTTATTCTTACTAATAACTAAATAATATTTTTAAATATATATTTATATTATTTTGCCTTGACTGGGAATTGAACCCTGACTTCCTGGTTCATAGGTCAATGCTCAACCACTGAGCCAGGCCAACTGGGTATTAAATAATATTTTTAGCATAAAAACAACTAAGGTAACTAACATGTAATGGACATTTAAATGAATCCGGGCATTAATGTCAGGAAGTTTAGAGCCATGGGTATGATTTGAACTGCTTGGGACCACAAAACAATATGTAGTTTCAGAATAATTCATACTAATATGTTCTGTCTCCCAATGACTCACTGATGGTTTCCCCCTGCACTGGTTGTTATAAGAAATCTACTAGAAAATGTCTATATCTAAGATTAAGGACCAACTAATCTTTTTTAGTACTGGGTACTTGAATTTCCATTATCTTAATTCTTACATAAACACTTTGAGGTTAGTATTGTTATTACCACTTTCACATAAACATGGACTCCAAGGCAGTTAAATTTATGATCACACAGCATGTGGTAAAAACATAATTTAAATCTGGATCTCTTAATACAAATCCCATTGCTTCAGAGGAAAAAAAATAATCTCTCTATGTTATTTACATAAATAAGCATGTGAACTTCACTTCTAATGAAGAAAATATCCTATTTTCTTCATATATCCTAATGAAGAATATATCCTATTTCCATGCCAATTGTGTGCAATATATTACTAAATATGTTTAAGGTAAATATGATTTTGGTTTCCAATTTTAGATGTTCCAAAAAGTGAAATTTACATATCTTTGTGTTTTTAT